CACAATAATCTTCATTTAGCACATCCTCCTGGTGATTCTGATGCCACACACTCAGCTTTGAGAATGACTAGCCCATATTGTAATATTGTAACAAATTGGAATGTAGAAGATAATTTTTTTTTTTTTTTTTGGCTGAGAAAGATTTGCCCTGAGCTAACATGTTGCCAATCTTCCTCTTTTTTGGCTTGAGGAAGATTCGCCCTGAGCTAACATTGGTGCCAATCTTCCTCTATTTTGTATGTGGGTCACTGCCACAGCATGGCTGACAAGTGGTGTAGGTCTGTGCCCAATACCCAAACCCACGAACCTGCGCCGCTGAAGAGGAGCATGCCGAACTTAACCACCACACCATGGGGCCAGCCCCTAAAAATATATTTTTAAGACACAAGAACTAAGCTCATATATTGACTTTAATTCTCTTAAAATTAGATTTAAAAAATTCAAGAAAAAATAGTACATTGATAGCAGTATTAGAAAATGAGATGGGGCATCATCAGTGGATCAGATATTTTAAGGAACTCCTAGATGATAGAAAACAGATGGGAATGAATCATGAAACACTCACACACACGTGTGTGCACACCCACACACACTGAAGTCAAGGTCAAAATGAAGTCCAGAGAAATCCCAGAGTGAATAAATAGAGTTTAGGGAATTCTATGATAAACTGTAGAATAATTAAGGATATTTTTTCCTAGCTGCAGAACCAGTTGACACTTTCCTCCCATCCTCCTTAAAATAAACTAAAGAATAGATAAAAATTCTGATGTTTCTCATTTACATGGTTAATAACCTTCTGAGGAGGGCTTATGAGGTTAGGAAGTTAGTGATCTAAATAAGAAGAACAGGTATTGAGTTAATTCTGAACTTCATGATCTACTACAGACCTCAAAAAAACCAAAAGAACAAAGTCTGGCCAAGAAATAGGGGTGCATTATGACTATGGCTCTTCTGGGCCCTTTTCTTCATGAAAACATATTAAAATTATGTTTTGTGAGTGTATCGGTATATCTATCAATCTATCTATCCATATATCTACATCTATTTATCTATCAATCTATCTACATAAACGACTTTGGATTTGGCAAAGATTCCAAATTGGACTTCATTAAAATTTAAAAAATTTGTGCTTCAAAGAAGGTGAACAGAAAACTCACGGACTAGGAGAAAATATTTGCAAATTGTGTATTTGATAAGGAACTTGTATCCAGAATATACGATGAACTCTTACAACTCCATAATAAAAAGACAAATACCCCAATTAAAAAACATAGGTAAAAACATGAATAGACATTTCTCCAAGAAAGATATATGAATGGCCAATAAGCACATGAAAAGATGCTCCACATCATTAGTCATTAGGGAACTGCAAATCAAAACCACAATGAGACACTACGTCACATAAACTAGAATGCAACCTCATCCACTGCTGATGGGGTTGTGAAGTGGTGCAACCACTTTGAAAAAGTATGTGGCAGGTTTTCAAATGATTAAATACAGAGTTATCAAATGACCTAGAAATTATACTCCTAGATATACACCAAAGATAACTGAAAATATTAGTCCATGCAAGATTTTATACATGAGCATTTAGAATAGCATTATTTATAACAGCCTAAAGGTGGAAACAACCCAACTGTCCATCAACTAAGAAAAGGATAAACAAAATGTGGTATATGCATACAATGGAATAGTGTTGGGCCATAAAAAGGAATGAAGTGCTGATACATGCTACAATGTGGACAACCTTGAAAATGTTATGCTTAAGTGAAAGAAGCCAGTCACAAAAGACCACACATTACATAATCCTATTCATCTGAAATCCCACAATAGGGAAATCTATAGAGGAAGAAAGTAGAGTAGTGGTTGCTTAGCGATGAGAGGTGGGGGGATAATAGAGTGATGGCTAAAGGGTAGGGGTTACTCTTTGAGGTAATGAAAATATTACAATTTATATTTAAATGAAAATTTGAAAATTCCCATATCTGTGAAATATTAAGATTCCTATATTTGTGAGTGTACTAAAGCCCAGTAAATTGTACAGTATATGAATTATAGCTCAATAAAGTTGTTTTAAAAAGTTTACTTAAGAATATTCACAAGTAAAAAATACATCCAAATGAATGAGAAACCGTGATCCAGATTTGGCACCAAGGTATTGAGAGTACCAAAGATGCCAGCTCTACAAACATGAGACAAATGTAAAGATGGCCTTGCTCAGATTAACAGGCCAGACAACAGGAAGAACAGACAGCTCAGTAGCAGACTTGGGGGGAAAATTAAATAAAAAAGAAATGGAAAACCAGATTTATTTGGAGAAAGAACGGGATGAAATGTATATATGTACTGTTTTCAATAAGAATTCTAGAATGATTTAGTGCTTCAAGCTATATGAAGGTAGATTTGATTTAAAAGTAAACATAAAACAATTAAACTGGTAAAAAAAAATTCCCAGAAAAAAATAAGCACTTCTAGAAAATATTTGGCCAGTAGTCTTCAAAAGTGTCGAGGTCATGGAAAACAAGGAAAGACAGGTAAAGTCTCATAGATTGAAGCAGAATTAAAAAGGATTAGTTCCCAGAAAATAACAAGGTATTAAAGGAAAAATTGGTGAAATCCAAATAGAGTCTGGGGTTTGCTGAATAGCATTGACCCACTGTTTAACTTCGTAGTTTGAAGAAGTGTGCCACAGTTACGTGTCTTACTAACATCAGGGGAAGCCGAGGCAAGCACGTCAGGCAGTCGCTCAGCTTCTGCAGCGCTGACGTTCTGGGCCAGATCTTTCCTTGTTGTGGAGGCTGTGTTGTGTGCTGCAGGATGTTTTGCAGCATCCCTGGCCTCTCACTAGATGTAAGTAACATCCCTAACCCACTCCCCCAACCCAGATTAGAGACTCTCTCTAACGTCCCTGGCGGGGGGTCGGGGGGGATGGGGGTGGGGGTGGGGTGTTAGGGTTGGGGGGGCAGCAAAGTTGTCTCTAATTGGGAACCACTGATCTACATTCATCTCTAATGTCAACCAACGAAAAAAATCCATTATCTCTTGGTGTATGAGAAGGAGAAGAAACAGACATGTTCAATGTCTATGGAAATCACTTTTCACTAATCAGCACGTGGATATATCAGTGAAGGTATCTTTAGAGGTGACTCACTTATGGCTGCCTGTAACTCACCAGCAGAAACACTGTGGTTTTTCAGGGTGTTTAACCCCAAACCAAAATGACATCCATTGGATTGTATTGCAAACAGGATGTGAGAAACTCGGTAGATATTGGGAAGAAAAAATATGTTTAAAAGATTTCTACTCAATTGCCTTAACTGTCTAGTCTGATCATGATGGTGATACCATCTTAAGAGGCTTCTTAGCTATTAAAAGTCATTGCTATCATTATCCAGAATGTCTTATTAAGAAGAAAATTACAGCATAGGATTTCTTTTTGTTTTCAAAATCATATACTAAGGGATCATTACTTAAATAAGAAATCTGGAGGAAATGAAAATGAATCAGGGAGTGGGAGGTGTTGCGGCTCTCACTCTCCAGCACCCGTGGCTGACAGCGCCCCCGCCTCCCCAACAACCGGCCACTCTCTGAACTGCGGAAACCTCACGAAGCTTTTTTACTAAACTCCTTCTAACGTCCTCAACATTCACCTGTTCAGCTTTCAGATAGGAAAGAACCTGTTGCTTGCTCTTGGATTTGGTGCTTGCTCCGCCAGCCTCTACTTCGCTACCTCTAGCGGCTCGCCAGCAGGTACCTTCTGCGCATGCTTTTGAGGAAGACGTTCTGGAGAACAGTGTGTCTCATACCTCCTTGGACAGACCTCCAAACTCAATCACTATATTAACTACGCAGTAGCCTTCAAACACCGTTCTTGTAATCAGATGCTTTCAACTTCAGTTGGAAGTGTGAGTCAGTCTACTATAAAAATGGAAAAAAGAGACATTACGTTAATGTTCTAAGGGAAGAAAATCTATATATGAATGTATGAAAGCTTAAAATTATAGGAGAGTTCATAAAATCAGTCATCAGTGCTAAAATATAAATTGTGATCTACTGTCACCATTTCCTTAAGAAGCAAATTGCAGAAAGTAACACTGACAACCATTCTAGAAGAATAAAACATGCATCGCATTTACTGAAACAAAAACTAGTTATTTATTTTTCCGTAAAAGAGCATTCAAGTGACTTATGTTCATTTTTTACGATAATGAAAGAGAGTGGCCTTCTGTCAATACCCCATCTGCAATTTTTATGAACTGCAGGAATTATTATACTTTCTTCCTCTAAATGTTAAGTACAAAATTAGAGATGACACTGCTGGTGGGGATGTAAAATGGTACAGACACTGTGGAGAACAGTTCCGTAGCTCCTCGAAAAGTTAAAGAGTTACCGTATGACCCAGAAATTCTACACTAGCTATATACTCAGGAGAAATGAAAACATTTGTCCACACCAAATTTTATACATGAACATTTATAGCAGCATTATTCATAATTGCCTAAAGGAGGAAATAACCCAACTGTCCATCAACTGGCAAAGGATAAATAAAATGTGGTATATCCATACAACGGAATAATGGCCCATAAAGAGGAATGAAATGCTGCTACATGATACAACATGGATGGACCTTGAAAACATCATGCTAAGTGAAAGAAGCCAGTCTCAAGAGACCACATATTATATAATTTTATTTATATGCAAGTCCACAATAGGGAAATCTGCATAGGGAGAGAAAGTAGATTAGTGGTTGTTCAGAGCTAAGGGAAGCGGGCGTGGATGGGAAGGTGGTATCTACAGGATACAGGATTTCTTTTTGAAGCTATGAAAATGTTTTCTAATTGACTGCAGTGATGGGCGCACATATCTGTGAACGTACTAAAAGCCACAGAACTGTACACTTTAACGGGTGAAATGTATGGCATGTGGATGATAACGCAATAAAGTTGTTGAGAGAAAGCGAGCTCCTAGCCCCCTCTTCGGAGCCAAACTCTCGCTACCAGCAGCGGGAAGAACAGAGGCTCCAGATCACCGTGCGCACGAAGGCTGCCGCAGCGCCGGCCCCACGCGCGGGGCCGGGACGTGGAGGGCTCGCGCGCTCGCGCGCCTCCCTGGCACCCAGATGCCAACCGTCACCTGAGCCCTGGGGCTTCGCCTGCGGCCGCGTCCAGCGACATCGAGAACTTCTGGAAGCCTGATTCCCACCGGAAGGACCCCTCCCCGCCGCCCGCTCCCACGGGCAGCTACCTGAGCACGCCCAAGCCCGCGCCGCCACCTCTCGCCCAGCGGCGCCCGAACCCGCGGCCCCGGCCCGCCCCGGACCAGGACGGCGGGCGGCGCGGCCACAGCGGGCGCTGCGTCCGCACCGGACCCCTGCCCCAGATGCCGCCCGACTGGGAGCCCGCCGAGCCCCGGAGGGTGGTCCCCGAGGCCTGGAGTCGCTTGCCGGCCAAGCCGCCCGCAAAGACCATCCTGGGGCCGGATCTTTCCGGGGCCTGGGAGAGCTACCTGAAGCGGTGGCTTTGGCGTGCACCCGAGACGGATCTGGAGCCCGGTGACCATCAAGATCGCGCCTCCTGAGCGCAGTGGGAGCCCCTGGGCATCCTCGGGTCCGGGGGCCCGCTCTGTGCGGCGTCCACCCTCTGAGGAGCGCCCAGACCCCTGTGCCAAGGAGACCGTGCTGAGGGCCCTCAGCCAGTGCAAGAAGGGGAATAGGAAGTTTGACGGACCGCTCTGGTTTGAGATCCCAGAGAGCAGGAGCAGGCGGCGGAATGCAGATCTCAGGCCCTCGGCCTTCAAGCCCCTGATCAAAAATGGCGTGGTCCCTTCCTTTGTGCCCAGGCCAGGGCCTCTGGACAGAAGCCTCCGCTCCTGGAGCCACAGTGCCTGCAAGGAGCAGACTGATCCAGGGCCTGATGTCCAGCGGTCACTGTCTGCCGCCCACCCGCCCGCAGGGACAGCACCAGCGCAGGCCACGGCTGCTCCGCTGGAGAGCTGGGAGAAGACGCAGCACTCCTGGGGCCCGGGCCCACCTCCAGTGCACAACAGCACGGCCAGTAGGGTCTCATTCGCCCCTGAGGAGGCCCAGCCTGCTGACCCGTTTGACTCTTAAGTCAGGACCCTGCTCCCCAGCTTCTGAGACTCAAACCTAACCTGTCTGCTCTCATCTTACTGACCCCAGCATGGGCCCTGATGCAGTATTGCTGCAGCCCCAGACCTGCCAACCCCCCAGCCTGCGGGGCCTTCCTGGTAGAGCCCTTTGATGTCAAAACCCTTGCCTTCCCTGCCTGCCCACTCCTTCCTGCCTTTTCTCCTGCTTTTCAGGAAGCCATGCTGCTTTTCCCACCTACCGTGTTCGCCCAGTTTGTATAGTTAATATTTGATCTCATTAAAAGTAATATTAACGTCTAAAAAGGAGCTTTTCATGCAAAAATAAAGGGAAAGTGTGTTCCAGAGGAGCAAGAGCAAGGGCAGAGTCCCTGCACTGGGAACCAGTTTCTGTTTGAGGTCCACATGGAAGTCCAGTATAGCTGGAGAGTAGTGAGAGAGAAGATGATATGAGGCTAGAAACAGACTCTGATGGAGTAACATAAGAATTAGGGCCATGGTGAAGAGTACGAGTTTTAGAGACCAACTGGTGGCATACTGGTTATGTTTGGGTGTTCACTTTGGCTGCCCAGGGTTCTCTGGTTAGGATCCTGGGCCCGGACCTACTCACTGCTCATCAAGCCATGCTGAGGCGAGTCCCATATGGAAGAGCCACAACTCTACAACTATGACACACAACAATGTACTGGGGCTTTGGGGACAAAAAAGAAAAAGAGGAAGATTGGCAACAGATGTTAGCACAGGGCCAGTCTTCCTCAAAAAAAAAAAAAAAAGTACGAACTTTGTTCTAAGAGCCATGGGTTTTAGGCAGAGGAAAGACTGATCCGGTTGATGTTTTTAAACAGATCATTCTGGCTGTTGTGTGGAGAGTGGATTATCCAGAGGCAGCAATTGAAACAGACACAAGAGAAGCTCAATACTGTATTTCAAGCAGGAGATGAGAGTGGTTTGGTCTGAAAGGGAAATGGTGCCTATGAAAGATGAGTTTAGGGTATGTTTTGTAGGTGGATATCATGGGACTCACTGGTGCACTGGATGATAGCATTAGGAAGGTGGAAGAAGCCAAGAGTCTTAGCTTATTGGTTCAAGAAACTGTGTGATAATAGCGCCATTTATTGAGATGGGGAACACCAATAGAGAAAATATTTGGAGAAATCAAGAGTTCTAGTTTGGTCATGTTTCCTTGAATACACGTACATTTGTTATCACAGTGGAGGTGTCACCTGAGCAGTTGAAAACGTGAGCCTGGAACTCAGTGGAGAGTTTGAAGCTACAAAAATAAATTTAGAAGTCGTGAACATATAAGCTTACTTATAACATATATATGGTGCTGAAAGCCATGGGCTATATGAGATCATTTGTATAGAAAATGTAGATAGAGAAGATGGCTAAAGATCAACCCTGGAGGGCTCCAATGGTTAGAGGGTGAATAAAAAGAGAAGGAGACAAGAAGCCTGATTAAAAAAACAGCCATTGAGGTGAGGGAAAAGTCAGAAGCAGCAGGGACACTGAGGGGCAAATTCCAGAATGTGGAATTTATCAACCATGTTAGTTGCTGCTGAGAAGTTAGGAAAAGAGATGTTCCATCTCTGAGTTTGAGAGGAGAAATTGTTTTGGAGTGTTGGAGGTAAAAGCCTGAGTGGATTTGGAAGACACTAGGAGGGGTGGCCATAGAGGCAGGGACTGGAGAAAGCATTTGGTAGATATTCACTTGTGAAGTCAAGCGGGCAAGTGGGAATGCTGGGGGAATTTTACTTTGTTTTTAACTATTCTTTTAGGAAAGGTTAGGGAAAATTTTTCAGCAGCAAAGGTGCTCTTCAGGAAGATCTGGAGGGATGGGCTCTTAGGTGCTGATGGAGGGTGGGGTGGCATGCAGACACTTGACCCATGATAACTGCGGGGGTCAGGGGTGGGCATCGTCTGTGGGTGGGAGGGCCAGCTTGGTGATCTCAGGCGTGAGGTAGATCAGTTCTCTTTTTCCCACTTTATCAGTGAAAAACAAAGCAAGACTATCAACAGAGAGGGGAGGAGGGGAGTATTCGAGGTTTGAGGAAAGAGCTGAAGATGTGAAACAGAGTTCTCAGAGTGGGAAAAGGAACAGAGTGGAAAAATGTAGTAGGATTATGAGAAAATATCAAGGGCCCTTTTCAGAGTTGGGTTCTTTAAACTAAATGGGAAACTGGGAAAAATGATTAGTTAATTTTCTCTAGACTTTATTTTACCTGAAGTAATATAAATGAGGATTGAATATACAATTGATTTTAACCATTATAATATTTTAAACAATATGATGTTAACTATTATACTCCAAAAGAATTTAATAAACAGGGAAGGAGCAAAGGAATTAGGGTGTGTATTAGTCAGGGATCTCCTGAGAAACAGAACCAGTGTGTACTGAGTGTGTGTGTGTGTCGAGAGAGAGAGACTGATTGATTGATTATAAAGAATTGGCTTACATGATTATGGAGCCCAAGAAGTCTCAAGAGCTGCAGTCGTCAAGATGGAGACCCAGGAGAGCTGATGATGCAAGTTCCAGTCTAAGTCCCAAGGTAGGAGAAGACTGCTGTCCAGGCTTGGAGACAGTCAGGCAGAGAGAGAGAATTCTTTCTTACTCAGCCGTTTTGTTCTATTCAGGTCTGTCCAGGATTGAATGAGGCCCACCCACATTGAGGAGGGCCATCTGCTTTACAGTCTACCAATTCAAATGTTAATCCCATTCAGAAACATCCTCACAGACACATTCAGAAATAAATTTTAAACAAATATCTGGGCACCCCATGGCCCAGTCAAGTTGACACAAAATTAACCATCACAGGGTGTTTTTTAAAGGAGTAGTTTTAGTTTGGATCATGGAATCAAACTGGTTAAGAAAAAAATTGATGAGGGAGATAATGAAATCTATGGGAAGAACAAACTGTTAGACTAATGGATGAAGCTGAAAATGTGTCATGTAATGGTAACTAAAACAAGCTAGAAGGGCAGAGTGGAAAGTGAATTTTTTGGATTTGAGATTTGAAAAGTTTAATGACAAGAGTCAGAGGCATGAGAATGAGGTAAGGGGAGCACATATCTCTCAATGTCCTAAAGGAGGTCAAGAAACTGGTGGTGGGCGGAGGTCAGAGGCAACGTGAATAGTGACCGGAATAGAGCTAAGAATGAAGGTCAGGAGGTAAAAGGGAAGGTAGGAGCAACGTGGGAGCAAGAATAAGAAGAAGAAAAGTCCTAACATCCATGAGTTTTGCACCTTTTTGAGAAAGCAAAGAGAAATAATAGTTTGGAAGCAGCAAACATGAGCAAGAAGGGCATCTGCTCTCTCGTCCTGGCCACGAGGGTCTTGGAATGCTAGAGAAAGAGTGGTTTTTCTTCAGCTGAGCGTCAGAGCATCCAAGATGAAAGAGGGGAGAAGACTTCTCAGGCTCCGTAATCGCAGGAGCCAATCCTTTATAGTCAATCAATCATTCTCTCTCTACGCGTACACACACACACGCACACACACCCTCAGACACTGGCTCTGTTTCTTAGGGGAACCCTGACTAATACACACTCAAACTAAACACACTCAAAGAAGCAAGGGGCTTCTTCCCTGTTTATTAAATTCTTTTGGAGTATAATAGTTAATAGCATATTGGTTAAAATATTATAATAGTTAAAATCAATTAAATTAAATTTTGAAGATAGGAATTACTAAAAATGTAACTACACAATTCATATAAGAAAGAATTCAAATTAACAATCATAAAAATATTCAAATGTGTTCTAGTTATTCAGAGAAATTTATATATATACTGTATTTGACCCATCATTGCAAAAAACTAGGTAAGCTAATATCCATCCTAATATATAACTATATATATATATAATTGTGTATACACACACACACAATTCTCCTATCTGTTGCTCTGTTTTAGTTAGTTAAATGGAAAATTTTGCTTAAAAAGAGGAATCACAAAAGTAACATTGTTTAAACTTTTAATGTGTATGTATATTTATTTGCCAAAATTTTAATGATAATTCAGGTTTTCCTTTGCATGAGAATTTGCTAATTGGATTTCTGCATAAACTGTACCCACAATATAACATCTTTTATTTCCTGTTTTGATTTCTTTGAAGTGAAGCCAGAATTTAGGTTTTTGCAAAACAGTGTGAGTTCAGCTTACTTGTAGATTTTTCCCAGTGCTTACAGATAACTTGCTCACACCTAATTCAGAATAATTGTTTTGGACAACTCAAGTCTTTCCAAATTATTCATTGGATTTAAAGAAACAACAGGTCTCTTTCTGCACTTATGTTTCATTCTTCTATAAAAGGATTAGATGAATTACATCATTATAAAGTTTGTCATGGACTGATTTGGTAACACATTCAATGGAATTTGTGATAAAAATGCAATTAAACTGATAGGAGTATAAGGGTACTGGAATACTAAAGAGAGCCTGTATCAAAAGAGAATTGAGTGCTAATTCTATACCTATATTCTTGTATGTACATGTGTAAATAGATTGTGATCTTTAGCTGCATATAGATATGTATCTACTCAGTCTTTCCACCAGTGACCATAGAGCAAACTTCAATATTACCTACGTCAAAAACAGGCACACTTTTGTAGCTGTATATTTTTCGGAAAGGTACAAGGCTCTCTTTTTTTTGCAGAATTTTTATATCCCAGTTTTAGCATTCTCTAGGAAAACTGAAGTTCTAAAAAATAGCATTATTATACTTTAGAAAAATGTAAAAATGGTTCATATCAAAAATTACTTTTTTCACATGCACTTAAAATGTGATGTTCCTAGTTAAATATATGACATTTCTCTAAGAGAACGTGAAATTATTATATTGAATAGCAAAAGTAATAAAAATAATTTTAGCAATTATAACCCTCAACGTTTCCTGATTTTGGAAAATAATAATTATGATAATAGCTCACATCTCAGGCTCATAATCTTATGCTGTAATAAATTAAATAATTTTTATTAAACTTTCAAAAAAGGATTATTTAAAGCAATA